GAAGAGTGGGCTGAGGGGAGCCCTGATCGCTCTCTGCGACTGCCTGACAGGAGGGTGTAGTGAGGTGGGTGTTGGTCTCTTCTCCCAAGTAGTTAGCGATAGGATGAGAGGAAATGGGCTCAAGCTGCACCAGGGGAGGTTTAGATTGGATATTAGGAAGAATTTCTTCACAGAAGGGGTAGTCAAGCACTGGAACAGGCTGCCCAGAGAGGTGGTGGAGTCCCCATCCCTGGAGAGGTTCAAAAAATGGGCAGATGTGGCACTTTGGGCCATATTTAGCGGGCATGGTGGTGTTGGGGTGATGGTTGGGCTGATCATCTTAGAGGTGCTTTCCAATCTTAATGATTCCTAGTTTTTACTTTCATTAAAAATAATCCAGCCACCAAGCCAGGAAACATGAAATTGCTACTCTCCCTTTAATTGTTTTAGTGGTGGACTTGGTAATGTTGGGTCAATGGTTGGACTGGATGATCTTAAAGGTCTTTTCCAACCTAAATGATTCCATGATTCTATGATCTTCATCCCGGGATCGGTGAAGAGCCTGTGCCTCCAGCCTGCCCTGCCGGAGCCGGGTCTGTGGTACGGGCGCTCCCCAGGGCCGGAGTGCTGTGAGCTCCGGGTTGCCTGTGGCTCCCACCCCGGCGGGTCTAGGGACGGTTCTCGGGGTCCCTCCTTTCTCCGTTCCTGGCCCTGCCCGCCTTCCTGCGCCTTGTACCAGGGATGCCATGGCAAGCTGGGAGGAGGCCCGGCTTCCTTGGCTGAATTGTCCCTCCCGGCACTGCGTGTGGAGGGGAGGGAGGTGTTCATTGCTCTTACAGGTGCCCCGAGTCCTCTGAAACCCTGGCAGCTTTCGGAGAGCCCGTGGCAGTGGGAGGCAGGGGTCCATCTACATCTCACTGGCTTCAGCCAGAAATAACATCCTGGAGGCGAGAGAAACGTTCCTACTGCAACTGCGTTGTATGTTTCCGCAAGAAGGCTCGTTCCTTCCCACAAAGCCCCTCTGTTTTGTCAGAAACCCCTGAAATTCTGTTCCCCAGCTCTTGCCTGGCACTCGCCTTCTGTCCCAGGGCCTTGGGGTGGGCCAGGGGCTCCTGCATCCCTCGCTCGCAGCTGGAAAATGCCACCTGGAAAAGCAGCAGGAAAGGGGCAGCGCACCCCTCTGTTTGGGAGCTCTCCCCACTCTGCGTTTCTCCTGGCAGCTCAGCCGGGGAGGGCAAAGACCCCCTCGGCAGAACCCCAAACCCCGG